GACTGTAATGCGCCAGACAATTTAGTAAAATGTCCAAAACGCCATGTTTTATCGCTGCTTCCCGTAAAGCTCTGCAAAAAAAATGTTAACGAATCGAGCTATTGAAAAATTTGAAAGATTTCGACAAAAGAAACTTCAAATGTTCGTAGACAATCAAACCAATTGCTTATAAACTGTGAAAAAAATTTACTATTTCATTAACGCTTCTTTTTGCCGTATTCCTACAGTATCCTTTTTATAACATAAGTAACCCATTGAGCATCTACAGTAATTCATCGAATAATATACAGTAATCCATTGTCTGGACTTTGGTATGTACGGGTGCCCCATTTTAGTGATGTTACTGGAATGCGGGCAAAAATAGGCGCAGCTGAAGCAACTCTTTCGATTTTGAGCTGCGTATTTTCTCCAGTTCAAACCAACAATCTTTACAATGCTCGACTCCACAACTCCCTTCGATGTGTAAATCAAATTGATAAGGGAGTGGTACATAATCCCGCTCCCCTCCCCTCACCTCCCTCCCCCTACTCCCCGCCCCTTCCCAGGGTCAAGGAAGCTACAATGACCAATTTCATGTCGTTATCAAAACATGAGTTTTTATTCAGAATTGCAACATCTCATTTATTTTGCGAGTGCTGTTGGTCATCAGCGAAACGCATATGCTTTAGCTTCAACGCTCTAATCCTCAAGTTACCTCCTTAAATACAATGTTGGGTCGGGCCTCGGACGACCTGCCCGTTGGCCCGGTGCTCTGGCGCCTCCTAGAATCGTCGGCTGGGTCGCCGGCTCCTTGGATTTGATGATTTGGGCTAGGAGAGTCCGCGCATCCTTCGTTGGCCGTCGGGGGCGCCAGCACAAAACAACCATACACTTTTTTTCACAGAAACAGCGGCCTTATGTAGGCAGTATCGCGCTAGCATACATGTCCTATCTAAGAGGGAATCATGATGCAACAGTGATACATAAGAAGAACTATACAACAATATTGATAATAATACTCACTTTCCTTCTGCCATATCAGGCGAAAATTTGTCGAATAATTTCTCCAAAACAGCGAAAGGCAATGAGGCAAGGCTTTCGCAGTCTGGTATTTGTGGCGCTGGTTGCGCGGTATTTGGTCGCACTACACCCGTTTTTCGCTGATTTTGCATAACCGATCCTGGGCCTGCAATTATCAGTCGTGCTGATCAGTGTACAAACTTTATGTGCGAGTAAAATAAATTTTTTTTTTTTTTATTTTTTTGTCCTAATTTTACGAATTTCTAAATCAACGGAATCCAATTTTTTCTT